CCAGAGCATGCCCTTCCACAGGCTTTGGCAGGGCAGAGGTACAATAGGATTCATGCCTGCTAAGTTAGGCATTTTATGTCTTTTAAAGGAGGGAATTGGAGCACCAGTTCAGGGAAAGTGGTACCAGCAAGTTAGGAGAGTGCAAAAATAACCTGTGGAAGCACCTCCATCCCTTCTGGCAGATGCTTTAAGATTAGCCAATGAATTTCCTTCACATATGGTCTAGGGGCTTTTCAACTTGGTGTTTTTGTGCTGATTCCCAGAATAAGTGATTCTGTATATGAGCCCTTTGAAGGTGGAAGTCTCAGTTTCCTATGGTCCTTTGGGTCTCCTGGGTATAAGCCATGCTGGTTTTCAAAGCCAGACATTTTCGGGCCTCATCTCTCTGGTGCAGGTCCCAAGGGTTGGGGTGGATGATCTGGGGCTCAAGTACTTTACTACTTAGGGATATGCTCTGTATTTGTGAGATCCCTCCCACCTGCGGGTTCATGCCAGGAGTGGAGTTTTTTGACAAGACCATGTCTCTGCCTCTCCTGCCCTTCTTAATGTGGCCCATTTATCTTTTCTTGTGGAGTTACTGTTCAGCTTGTTTTCAGGTCTTTTCCAGGGAGAATTATTCTCTATGTAACTTTAGATTTGGTGTGTCCATGGGAGGAGATGAGTTGTGGGGTCTTTCTATGCCACCATCTTGAACCTCTGCAAAGAATAGGACCATTTTCACAGTGCATTTGAATTCTTTAAAAGCCTCATTTATGGTTTATAATATGAGAGTAATTAAGGGTTGATAATTTGTTATAAATTATTCTTATTTGACCATTTATGAATCTACTTAGAAATGGTTGCTTCATACACAATTTTTGGGCACCCTGAGAAAATTGACATAGTATCATACATTCAAAATTCAATATTTAGTGTGTACATATGATTAGAAAAGCATGTAGTATATCTGGTCTTAGACTATAGGGTTCAGGGACAGTTACAATGAAAGAACAGATCCCAAAATAGCCTTACCTACACATAGTGATATACCACATTACAGTTCCAAATGTTTTTTTCAGTATTAGAATCTAACAGTATCATACTTTCCTTTGTCTAGATATTTTCAAGTGCACTTTTAAAAAATTTATTTTATGTATTATTTTTTAAAGTTTTTATTTAAATTTGAGTTAGTTAATATATAGTGTAACATTGGTTTCAGGAGTAGAATTTAGTGATTCCTCAGTTCCATGTATCACCTTTTCACAAGTGCCCTCTTCGAGTACATTTTCTAATACTAAAAATTTATTTCTTGTTTTTCAAAGTAAACGTTTGCTCTATAACCCAAAACAACACTTTAAAAAAATAATATTGTTGGATAAAATTTATCTGGAAGGTCTGGAAGACAGAGGTAATGGTGATTGCATCTTGGAGATGATTTGGGTGGCTTAGAGATACAAGTGAGGGTAACATAATTTTGGTGCCTTGGAATTAGGCTCAAGAGTGTGTTTTGCATACTTAAATATGTGTAACATTTTTAAAAATTTTTATTTAAACTCCAGTTAGTTAGCATATAGTATAATACTAGTCTGAGATGTGCAATATAGTGATTCAATACTTCCACACAACACCTGGTACTCATCACAAGTGCCCTCCTTAATCCCCATGAACTAGTCAACCCATTCCCCCCGACACCCTCCTCTGGTAACTATCAGTTTGTTCTCTATAGTTAAAAGTCTGTTTCCTGGTTTGCCTCTCTCTCTCTCTTTTCCCTATGCCTGTTTGTTTTGTCTCCTAAATTCCACATATGAGTGAAATCATATGGTATTTCTCTTTTTTTGACTGACTTATTTTATTTAAAAAATTTTTTTAATGTTTTATTTATTTCTGAGAGAGAGAGAGAGAGAGAGAGAGAGAGAGAATGAGCAGGGGAGGGTCAGAGAGAGAGGGAGATACAGAATCTGAAGCAGGCTCCAGGCTCTGAGCTAGCTGTCAGCACAGAGCCCCACACAGGGCTCGAACCCACGAACCGTGAGATCATGACCTGAGCGAAAGTTGGATGCTTAACTGACTGAACCACCCAGGCGCTCCACTGACTGACTTATTTCATCCAACACGATATTCTTTAGCTCCATCCACGTCACTGCAAATGGCAAAATTTCATTCTCTTTTATGGCTGAGTAATATTCCATTATATATAATTACGACTTCTTTATCCAATCATCAGTTAATAGACACTTGGGCTCTTTTCATATTTTGGTTATTGTTTTAGATAATGCACAATAAACATCGGGGTGCATATATCCCTTTGAATTAGTGTTTTTGTATTCTTTGAATAAATATGTTGTACAATTGCTGGATCATAGGTTACTTGAATTTTTAACTTTCTAAGGTACATCCATACTGTTTTCCAGAGTGGCTGCACCAGTTTGCATTCCTACCAACAGTGCAAGAGGGTCCCTTTTCTTCTCATCCTCGCCAACACCTGTTGTTTCTTGTGTTATTGATTTTAGCCATTCTGACAGGTGTCAAGTGATATCTCATTGTAGTTTTGATTTGTATTTCCCTGATGATGAATGATATATGTAACATTTTAAAAGTACTTTTATGAATTATTTTTCTATTTAAAGATTCATCTTCACCAAACTCAACCGCTCTACTCCCCAATTCAAAGAATATAATTTCTCACCAATTCTGTGATCAATCTTTTAGGATCATGATCACAGTTACCAACACAGTTAGCCATCAATACCTGTTAATTGTGCCAATGAGCAATAATACAAACTTTGAACCACTTTTACACAATTATGCCTTATTAGAAACAATTTGTATTAAATATGCCTTCTTTGTAAATCTATGTAATTATCAATTTAGGAATTGAGGAGCTAAAATTACAGTGTGCTTCTTCTAAGAAAAGAGCTATAAGGAAGTGTCACAGACGTTTGCACTTGAAGAGAAAGTTTACTTGGAAGAACTTAAGGCAGATATTTACACCAAAATACAGAGTCATTATTTTCCAGAAATGCATTTATAAAATGTTACCTTAATTGTTTTAAGGATTTCTCTGTGTTGTAGGATTTGACAATCAGTATCCAAAAGTTTTTCTTGAGCTTTTACTATGTGACAGAAGGTATAAAGGAACCCAGACATAGGAGCCATGGATCAGCCTACAAGGAACACACAGAAAAACAAAATATTTATTAATTAAAACTGATATGCTTCATTAATAATGACAAAACAAGTTGCTTGAACTCCCCAGCAATATTCAGAGGTTACGGTTTTGCTATAACATGTTTGGTTCTCAAATGTTATGAAGACTGTCAAGATCAAATCTTCCTTAAGAGATAAATGCCCAAATTTTAGCTTATGTTTTATCTTTGAAATCACCTTCGTCTTTGCAAAGATCAGTTAAATCACAAGACCATAGCACCATGGCCGGATGAGCCTGGTTGGTAATGCTTAAGCTCAGTCCCTCAAAAATGTCCTCAGAAACCACACAAGATATGGTGTGACCACCAGACTGTAGACATCTCAAGAAAAGGCCCTGTGCCTTGGCTTCCCCTTCACCCCCCTACAATGACCATTGTGTTTGTTCTCAATGGGCACTCAGCGAAATCGTCAACTGGCTGACCAGTTAATTTGTGGGTAGCTGCCTGCAAAGTCAGTATCTCATTACTGCAGAGCAGATGAAAGGAAGATTCCAAATCAACTGAGACAAGTTTTACCCAAGATGCCCTGATGTGGTAGCAGTCACAGGGCAAATACAAGACAGCATCAAGGAACTTGAGCAGATCAGCTGAGTGGGTACATTCCATGTCCTGGGGAAATTTGTAGGGTAAATTTAGTAGTTGGGGAAATGGCAGACACCTTAATATTTGCAAGCTCTTTTTCACTACAAATACATGAAGTTTTAGTTTGTTGAAATAGTGAAGAGTTAGAGATGCCTTGATGTGGTAGGAGTCAAGTTAGAGCTATGAGTAGAGAGGAGAAACCAGGACAGAGTGATAAAAGAAAACCCAATGTAAAGTACAGATTCATTTAGGGTCTTCATAAATAATATGTATATAGGTTTCTGATATGTGATATTTTTGAGTTTTTATTATGTGTGAGGTACCAAGGTAGGGACTTTTTGTACATTTCTTACTATAATCCTTAGAACAACCTCATTAGGAAAGAAAAGTCATTACCCTCATTTTATGTAATGGGGAAACTGAGGCCAGGCAGATGAATTAATGTTCCACTGGTAGAAAACCATGGGATTTGGATATGCAGTTGCCATATTTTCCATTGTAAACATTCATAAGGCATTGTGGCCAAGGAAAGCAACAAGGACTGGGGTTGAGTGTGTGTGTGTGTGTGTGTGTGTGTGTGAGGGAGGGGAGTTATTTTTGTCACCAGGAAACCAACACCTGTACTCTTTCCCTGGGCTGAACTGGGACAGTGGGAAATCACTGCATTTCTTTAGATAACAAATCACTATGTGTTCACCAGTCGTTAGCCCATACATTGGTTACATACACAGAGGTCAGACATGTATTGATTTAAATGACAGAATCTGCTCTGAACGTACTATTGGAAAATTAAGAATTTGGTAAAAGAAAGAAAAACCATAAGCAAATACAATTCTTGACTATGTCTTGAGGTTTGTGGGTATACAGAGAACACTGTAGGCCTTGTGTCTTTAATGTACCACACCCTCTTGAGTTCCAGTTTTAAGCCTAATACTTCCTGTCTTACCACCCCAAAAATATTTTGAATGGAATAAATTCATTCTAGTTAATGTCTCTTTTTTAACAGATCACTTAACTCTCTAGCTGACATTTTTTTCTAAAACAGGACTAGCTTTTATGACTGCACTTTGAAGATGGTTATAGTTAGTCATCTAATGACTATTAAAAGGGAGAGGTGATAAAAATGATTATTTGTGAACTAAGGTAGACCTAGTAAAAATTCCTATTTGTCATGAAAATGGTCTTGATTTAAAAAAGTCTGTAGATCATTCTAAAATGTTTTTGTTTCTCTAGATGTAATCTTCCTCCTTTGTCAAGTGAATACACTAAAGATGTTGGATCCAAAAGTCATTTAGTGACAGCTAATCCCAGCATAATTCGGCAAAGGTAAGAGTTTGTGATTTCTGTTTGTAAGGAACTAAAGAGGAAGGCCTTTGAAGTATTTAACATTTTAAAGACAGTGAACATAGTTCAGTTTGAGAAACAAAGAAGAAAGCCATCTGGACAGACAGGAAAAATGAAGGAGAGAATTGTAAATAAATGAAGCAGGACTATGGGAATCTAAACACTATTTTATGCTTCTTCTGGGGCTCTGTTTCTTGCCTTTAGAGGTGGTAGAAATAACATGAAAATCCGTTGTTTTACTCAAAGAAGCAATACAGTAGCCTGCTTACTCATTCCTATTACTATCCAATTTGTTGGCTTTTGTCCCAACTCATTGATTGGTGAACTGAGTTAATATTGGTTTTGTTAAAGAAGAAAAACAAAAAAACAACCAATCTACTGCACAAGTATGCATGAACATAGCAATATTGTCAGGAATGGACAGGAAGGTATAACCATATGATGATATTACACTATGTTACATTCAATCAGATTCAGGAACGCAGATGGAAAATTCTTGCTCCCAAATCAATTCTAGAGATCCTGACAGCAGCTGTGGAAGCTTTTGGGGGTTGGTCTCCAGTTGACGAAACTGGTCAGTACTCTATGGGCTGTTTCTCCAAGGATTTTTCTTGTAGATTCTGACTCAGTCTCTGTGAAGTGAGGAATCCAACATTGCCTTATACTCTCCTGTACAGATGACTAGCAGTTAGGACTGAGATACTCGGGTGTGTTGGGGTCAGTTACTTGTAATCTAAGGGAGTCCTATCCAAGTGACCAGCACCTGTGTGTCACTTTATAGGCAATGCTGCACCTGCTTGTTTGAGTTTCATAGTAAGCATTCTCATATAATAGATGTCTAAAAATATAACCAAACAGTTTTTAATTTTGACAGATACTGTGAAATCACCCTTCTAAAATGTACCATTTTAGAAAGTAATTCTCTTTTGTAAACGATAAGACCGCCTGTCTCCCAGTACTGAAAACAACATTATGTACTATTCATCTTTTAAATTTTTGGCAGTCTGTTAGGTGAGAGATGATATATTATTTTTTTACTTATTATATATTTTTCTGAATACAGCAAATGCTGAGTGGGTATTGACTATCAGTATTTCCTCTATGAAATGCCTGTTTGTATTTTACTCATTTTGTGTTATTTGTTTAAAAAATGTTTTCCTGTTGATTTATAGGAATGGTTTCTATTATAGATATTAAATGTTTATATTATAGATATGTTTGCTATATATGTAGCAAATATTTTCTTCTAACCTATCACAGATCTTTTAACTTCTGTCCTTCCAAAATTTAACATGTTTTATGCAGTGAAATTTCCTTTTCCTTTATGGCTTCTTCTTTTTTCTTAATCTTTCTTTGGATGATCTTCCTTATCCACATCCCCTCCATAAAAAAATATTATCTTATATTTTTCTAGTGCACTTATAATTTCATTTTTCATATTTAAGGAATTCAGTCCTTGTGAATATTTATTTTTATAACAGTAGTTTTACTGTCTTGCAAAAAATAAATAAATAAATAAATAAATAAATAAATAAGGGTACACATATAATTATGGTAGCAAAAATAAGGTTAGAGAAGGTAACATCATTGATGTATTTAAAAGAAATTCTCAGCAAGGAGCTTTGCTATAGCCTTTGTTAGGGTATATTGTTTAGAGTACATTCTTATCTTTTAAAAAACAGTTTTATTGAGTATAATTAAATCACAAAAAACCTTGCATGGTTAATGTATATATATAATTTGACAAGTTTGGGCATATGCATACACTAGTGATACATACGACCACACTCGAGGTACTAAACATATCTAAACATATCTTTCACCTCCAAAAGTTTCCTTGGGCTTGTGTTTTGTGTGTGTTTGTGTAGTAAGAATGCATAACATGAGATCTGCCTTCTTCACAAATTATTGTTCAGTGGGTATAAAGTGATTTCTTCTTGACTGCACCCAGAACAAAGAGATTAGTTAGGATATCTGAGACGTAAGATTAGAAAGGGCTTTTCAGGAAGTCACACTTACCTTCTGAGTGCATTTTTAGGGGCCCAGAGAAGAGAGTTTGTTCTCAGTGGCAGCAGAGTGTACTGGACCTTCAAATGCATGGCTATTGTTCTCTTCCTTTCTTTGATGAGTTTTGCAGATGGGTGACAGCAAGGATCTGTTCCTGGGGTTACCCCTTCATCAACATACTGCCTCTTACCCCTTGGGCCTCAGATATTTTTGTTCAAATATCCTTTAAAAGTACTTTTAAAAAGCTATCATTATTTCCTTGATCACTTTGAAGTTATCTCGTTTTTTAGCATAAAGTTATATTCCACCAAGTATGTACTTTCAGTGTATTCTATATTGTGCATATGTTTTATATATTGCCAAAATCTCAGAAGTGCAGATACAGCTCTTTGGATGTTACCTGCCCTCCTAACAAGGTCAGTGTTCTTTGTCGAAGTAACTCCTAAGTTGAACTGACTTTCGTAAGAAAAAGGCTGACCATCTTTTAATTCAAGTAGGTGTTAAAATGTAACCCATATAATCATCTTACTTCTGAATTCTAATTATTCAACACAGAAGTATGGGGAACATAGAAGTAAGGAATGGGGATTGCCATAGTTTATCCTCCAGATAAAATGAAGTATAGCTTCTTTGTATTTCTTATAAGGATCTTTTTGTTCTTTCTCAAGGGACACTCCCTCAGAAGCTGTGGATCTTGGAAATGTTTCTTTGCCTGCCTGAGTGGTTTTTACCCTGGGTGGGGGGGGGGGGGGAACAATGCGTCATTGTAATATTTGGGTGATAGGAAGTGTGCCTTTTGTGAAGGGGAGAAAGGAAAATTGTGAAAGTAGAGCCTGGAAAAAGATTTATTCCTATTCAGAATAGGAATTCAGTTATTATACATAAAAACTGGAACTTAATTGATTGTTGTATTATGACATTAAGAATTCATTTTTAAACTTTGAAGCTCTAACTGGAGAAATGATTATTTGCAGTCACTAACAAAGAGCGTCAGGATCTTGAGTATGTGTGTGTTTTCATGGAGGCACACAAGAGGCTCACAGGTGTGAGCAGTTTGCAGTCAAGAACCCTTCACCTGTGCTCTTCAGACCCTTGCATGTTGTTTAGCATACAAGACATGCAAAGTAAATGTTTCTGGAATGAATGAATAAGTGAACAAATATATTTTAAATGTCCTTTAAGCCAAATTTTACAAATCAAATTTGAATGTGGTTTGAATTGTCTTACAAAAAGAGATTTTTGAGGTAGGCACCGGGGTGGCTCAGTCAGTTAAGTGTCTGACTCTAGATTTCAGTTGAGATCATGATCCCACAGTTGGTAAGATTAAGCCCCGCATCGGGCTCTGTGCTAACAGCAAGCTTACAGAGCCTGCTTGGAATTCTCTCTTTCCCTCTCTCTCTACTCCTCCCTGGTTATCTCTCTCTCTCTCAAAATAAATAAACAAACTTAAAAAAATTTTTTTTGGTGTCAGTTAAAATATTTATGATCTTAAGATAGGAGATGAAGTTTTTAGTAACAGATATTTCAAAATAGTATTAGTGGAATACTTAGGTGGGAAGGCTTCTTTACTTTTTTTTTTTTTTTTAAGTTGACATGAATTAGGAAATAAAGTTTTTAGAATAAATGGAGTGTAAGTCAATGGTGGAATTAACCTTTTAAAATTTGTCCATGCTTAACTTTTAATTCATTAGGAGAACTTTATATGAGACCCCAATATTTATTTTGAGGTTTTTAATATCATGTAAAGCCTGGGTAATCTCTTCCCATACAAGTGGAAGAGACTTCATCCAATGGTAATTGCCTCTGCTTTTGCTAAAGGCAATTGGGAGGGTAGCAATATTAGCAGGGAGAACAATTGCTTATTTTATTTATGTACTTTAAAAAAATAATTTGAACATTGAGGAAAATAACTTTGGTCTAAAGAAGATTGATAACAGTTTCTCTTTAAAATTCTATATGACTCATGTCTCAGATTGTGTTCCTGAAACTTCCCTATCTGTTCTGCCGAATGACTCCTTTTTTCTTTTCTCTCCAAACTCAGAGCAGCTTATCAGTGTTTGCATCAAGGCTTGGCAGTCACTGATAGCCGCTCAGTCTAACGTCTGTCATGATAGAAGAGCGTTAAAAAGCAGATACTAAAACTGGAAGTAGAAGATAGAGCAGAGATGATTCTAAAAGGATAGAGGTCTTTATGAAGTTTGTGTCTGAGAGGCAGTATTACATACATGGTGGCGAGGAACACAGGTTTGGCTTTATTTATTTATTTAGTTTTATTTCTAGGAGAGAGAGAGAAGGCGTGAGCAGGGGAGGGTCAGAGAGAGGGAGTCACAGACTGAAACAGGCTCCAGGCTCTGAGCTGGCAGTCAGCACAGAGCCCAATGCGGGGCTCGAACCCACGAACCGCGAGATCACGACCTAAGCGAAAGTCGGACGCTTAANGCTCCAGCCTCTGAGCTGGCAGTCAGCACAGAGCCCAATGCGGGGCTCGAACCCACGAACCGCGAGATCACGACCTAAGCGAAAGTCGGACGCTTAACCGACTAAGCCACCCAGGCGCCCCACAGGTTTGGCTTTAAACAGATTTGTGTTCACATTCTAGTGCCAGTACTGATGAGTGCTTCTACTTACTGGCTATGTAACGTTAGTTCCTTAACCTCCCATCTGTCAAGTGAGAATAAAATTGTCTTGAGGACGGCTGAGAGATACAAATGAGGTAATATAACTGTGTCTGGTAGGTAAAAGCTGTTCTGACTGATATCCACCATAGCTACTCAAGAGGACTCTTCCATTGGAACACATTTTGTTCTTAGAGAAAACATATTTTCAAATGTATTATTGGACTTATCAAATTTAGGGACTCTCCAAGGATATCTGTACCCTTCTCCCCAAACAAACAAACAAACAAACAAACAATAAAACCCCACAAAATAGAAAATCAGGGAACTAAAACTGTGAGGTATGAAGTTCTGATCTTA